CAGTCAGGAAGGCCGGAGCTGTTCCTCCCCGCTTGCTCTCACTTTGGTTGGGAACTTTGTTTTCCAGGCTGGCAGCCAGGATGGAAAAGCACCAACAGCTCCGGAGCCCAGCACGGGCATTCCCCATCGGGCAGGGAGGAGCGGTGCCCGCAGCAGTGCAGGACAGAGCTGTGCTGGCCGCTCCCAGCAGCTCCACGTGTCTGTGCCTGCGGCTTCTCCTGCACCCTTGTGAGCACCACGCCACCACACTTGGGGACAAGGGCCCTTCCCCGTAAATTGCAGGTGGTGCTTGGAGACCTCTCTGTTGGCGTGGTGGCAAAGAGTACTGCCCAGCGTCATCGCTGGGGCGCTGGCTAAGCAAGTGGGAGGAGGTGGCCTGCCATACTGACTGTATTTCGTTTTTCCTTGGGCGTTTCCAGGCACAAGTAAGGGCTGCCCAAGTAGCACATGGGCAAGGCCCATAGGAATTAGGAGAAAACACAGGGGCAAAGCCCACCGCAACTCCTTCTCTCTTTCCCTCCATCCCTCCTGGTTTTTCTCCCGCAGATCCCTAGCCTTCCTGAGGGAATGCTTCTTTTCACTGTGTTTGCCTTTTAGCTGTACGCTGAATCTTGTCAGAAGATGCGAGAAGGGTCAAGTCCAACAATTAAGCATTTATAAAGCTTAGGCAATGCACGGACCTCCCCACAATCTCAGTGCAGCTCAGGGTTTTCAAATGACAACGTTGTAATGCTCTCGCTCTTTGTCTTTGCAGGGCTGTAGAAGAATGTTTCAACTACCCCAGTATGCTGGTTCCCAGTAGTTAACACAGGAAATGCCACGGGAGCCACAGGAGAGACTGGTCAAGAGAAGCAGAATAAATTAGGATCGTTATTTCACCCTGATTCATGCTGGGACATCCAGTTGTTTTACACAGGCACTGCAGCTGGGGGTTTGCGTTCAGACATGGCCGAAGAGCCGCATCTCAGCTCTAAAGCCACCGCTTGCTGCGGTTCCCAGTAGTTAACACAGGAAATGCCACGGGAGCCACAGGAGAGACTGGTCAAGAGAAGCAGAATAAATTAGGATCGTTATTTCACCCTGATTCATGCTGGGACATCCAGTTGTTTTACACAGGCACTGCAGCTGGGGGTTTGCGTTCAGACATGGCCGAAGAGCCGCATCTCAGCTCTAAAGCCACCGCTTGCTGCGGTGGGAGCTGGGACCACTGAGGAGCATGGCTGGAGGAAGGAGCAGGGAGGCAGTGGGGCCCGGTGGCGCACGGCATGCTGCTGGTAGCCTGCGACAGGCTGCTCCTGACCTGATGGCCACGTCGTCTACCTCGGCTCAGAGGAGGCTTTGGCCTCAGAGGAGCCGCCTGCTCGGCAAAGAGCCCCTAGTTTCATCCCTAGGCAAAGCGTGCCTTTTCCTTCTTTTGACCATTTTCTAGGCTCAGTTCTTAAAAGGTAAATTTCTAGATGTTATTTAAATGGTCTTTTCTTCCCCCCCTCATGCCCCAAATATCCTCCTCAAACAGCTTGCTCCCAGCGCAAAGGCCTTTGCCTGTGCCCTTGCTCTGTGTAAAGCCAAGGAGCTGCCTGAAAGGGCCTGCACAGCTCGTGCCACTTGAGGGCAGTGGTTGCATGCCCAGAGCCTGGTTGCTCTCTCGGGATAAAAGACCTCATAAAACAACAAAGTCTCACCATAGGTGCCATCACTTAGATGGTTTTTATTAAGCCAGATCCTCTGAAATTCAGAGATATGGTCTAATACAAAAGGCATTGCAGGATGCTTGACAAACGTGAAGCATTAAAGGAGATATTTAAAGGAGATACAAGTTTGCAGACTTCCTGTAGGAGCACAAAATGAGCTGTGTTGTGGACTTTTTTGGGTTTGTTTGGTTTTTGTTTCTTTTTTTTTTTTAAAGACCCTGAAGGAGTCAGTGTTTCATGCTTTCATAATGCAGCCTCATAAGTTCACTGGATAAATATGCAATGGCTCACGTGCCCCTTTCACTGGTGGGGAACAGAGGTCCAGTTTTCCAGTTTGCAGCTCGGATTGTCATTTCTTCTGTGTTTTTACAGAATTCAGTGTAACTCAAGCTCAGCCCAGTTGTTACCCAAAGGCCATACTTCAGCAGACATGCCTGATAAGAGCAGTGGTGACTTATTTGTGCCAGACTTCACACTATGTTGGCCCACAATCCGAGACAAGACCTTGGCATCTGGTGCCCATATTCTGCTCAGGTGAGGTTTTCTTTCTGTACAGTTATGTGCCTGGCTAATCAATTTGCTCATTTCTGTGTGCTTTTGAGGCCATTTGCCCACCACAGCCCTGCCCACATGGCAGGTACTGCGCTAGAGTGTCCCTCGGGCTTGAAGAGGGAGGGCTTCTGCAGGGACAATCATGACTTGTACCAGCTGGGGCTCTCCCACACCACAGTTTTGGTCCTATCCATGGTTTTTTTACTTTTGCCATCATTTGAGGATGCAGCCCAGTGAGCCTGCTGCAATAGGGTCAGAAACGAGAACAAATTGGACAAGCTTGTCTTGACATGCAAACCACTCATCACCTGGTGTGGAGCAATCTGGGCGCAAGCTGGGCTCATACCGTTGGCCAGGGCAGCTGTAGCTTGATGCCACGGTGATGGCCACACTCCCCTCTCCTCACCCCTATGCCAGGTGCCATCATGTTGCCATGCCAGCTCCATATTGGGGATGGCTACCACCTTGTGTGCCACGGGGAAGGGGCACATCTGGAGTGGGACAGGGCAAAGGGGGCTGGAGAGGCTCCCCCAGCTCTGCACCGTCCTGCTGGCTGCCTGCAGCGGGGCTGGAAGCCCTGCCATGATACCAGCAGCACACCCTGGAGACCTCCTGCAGCTGCCGGAGATGAGCAGCGGAGCGATCCATGGTTCACTGCCAAGCTGTGTCTGCTGTGGCACCCTGGCACGGATGGGGGCCCCATCCCATCACCCCACATCGGGGCGGCTGGGACCGTGCGTGCCTGCCTTCCTGCTGGCAGCCGTGCCCTGTCCCCCACCGCCGGGCGTTTGCTGGCTCCCTGCCCTGGCAGCACTACTCTCTTAGTGGTTCTGAGTGCAGACAGGAGCCAAAGTTGTTTTTATTTATTCAAATCCTGTTTAGCACCATCAGGCTTAAAAATCCCATGACTACCCCCTTATATAATTTTGTTTGATAGGAAAATAATTAATTTTGCAATTAAGCTCTGCCCAGAACAAATGATGTAAGAGCACTCCGTATGGGCTAAATTAGTGCCTGCTGAGACACAGCGCCAGCATCTGTCTGG